GAGGTAGGTTTCCTTTTTCTTATATCCTTTTTGTGTTCTTTCACACGAGTCATTTTTTTTCTCCTGTGTAGACGGAAACACAATTGTTGCATCTAACACGATATACTAGTTTCTTGCTTTTCTTAGTTTCATCGATAACTTTTTGCAATGGAAGAAAGATATTTTTCAATGTGCATGACTTTTTTGAAGGCAATATTTATAGTTACATGTGGTAATAATTTTTTACATAATTTTTTGATTCGTTGTGATAAAATCATGGATTCTTGCCCGTAATATATATGATCGATCATCTGGATAAAAGACGTCTACTTAATTGTCTAATTTTCTGTTCATTTTCTTTTTTGTACTCTTATTGAATCAAATCGGGCGTCATTCGTTTATTCTGATGATGACGAGTGAACATCGTCGAAATATCAATAATAAATCAAAATAATAGCACTGTGATTTGTATTAATCATGTTTGTAGCAATTTTGTATTTCTTACTTCGTTTTTTCAATATTACTTCTGTACCAAAATATTTTAAAATGACATATTGTTCGATTTTTGTTAATTTCGCGTTTTACATGGTACAGATAATACTTATAGCGTCTTTTTACACATGGTGTATGTACCATTTTGTAGATAATCATTTGCTCTACAATCTGTCGCTCAAATAAACATTTATTTACCAAAAACAACATAAAATATTAAATACAGAACAAGTTAGAAAAAAACAGCCTTTTCTTCATGTACAAATGATATTTTGAAGTATGCGAGAAAAACATCTGTGGTTTCGACACACTAGAAAATGTACATTTTGAAAAGTCACACTCTGAATTGAATACAGGTTTTTCTTGATAGAGAAATCTGAGTTTTAATTTGTACTAAGACTTTCGCGTCAAAGGTTATCTTTAAGTTTATGTGATTGTGTTGTTATTTAACACTAGAACGCCCGAAAATTTTCATGACCTAGAACGCTCAAAGCGGTCATTTTGACCGTTATTGTTTTTTCTTGAAAATTTTATACTTAAAAATGGTTCTGAATTAAAAAATGAATTAAAAATTCTGCAAAAAATAATTTTTGTGAGACAAATTAAAAGTTATGACAATTTATTTTTAAATAAATTGTGTGCAGTTTGTTTTATTAAGGATAAAAATCACAAAACGGTCAGAATGACCGCTACGGGCGTTCTAGTGTTAAAGATTGTTAATTAATTGTATACTTCAGAGTTGGGTTTGTAATTCTCCTATTTTCCTCTTCTTTCCCCTTTTATCCATGACCTCTCCTATTTTTGAGTTAATTTTCCTCTTTTTCTGGAATTTTTTAGCAAAAATACCAGAATTCATGCTATTTTTAGATCTGAAAGTAGTTTCAGATATATTTTTTTATCAATGCCGTCATATGAAACACAATTCAATCGCTCATCGTTGTAGAAAACAGTAGATAAAGTCCCTGTGAGACGATGGTTAAAGCAAGGCGCTAAGGAATCAACATTCGTATATACATTGTGTAAAACGGGCGAATTAGATTGTGGGAACAAAGCATGGCAGTCGATAGTACAGTAAGATTGGAGCAACAGCGTAGATACAAAAAAGACGCGCGATGAGCTTCTGCGTGAAATAACTGTGCTCGATTTTTAAAATATGTCTTTATTGGAGAAATTATGAATTTTAATAACCATTAAAAACTATATTATGCCATTATTTCAAAACGTTTTCATTGAAATAAAAAATCGAGCACAGTTATCTCACACAGGATGTTCTTGCGCATTTTTATTGTTCCTACACTTTTGCTCTCCCAAGGCACGGCGCGCGGCAGGGTTCTAGTCCCAAATACGAGACTACCCAGATAGAGAAGTAAACGGAAAAAACGGTGTCTGAACTTGTTCATATCCAAATCGTTAAAAAAATCTGATATGTATATCGACCGCTCGCCGGTCTATAAGGAATTGTAGTATGGAGTTAGATAGATCGAATGACGAAAGAATGAAACCAATCGACCCTTACAGTCCTGAGTTATAAGGATCTCAAAAAAAAAGGTTTTTCTGAAGAACTCTAACTTTGGGCGCTAATAACTCATGACGAGTCAGCGGTTATTTTTCAAATTTTCACCGTTTGTTCAGTTCGTCAGGCTCTTCAAACCATGAAATCCGCATTGGAAATCTTAATTGGAACCAGGGTTTCTGAAGACGCAAGGTTCCAAAAAGTCCAACGCTTCTTCAATAGTTTCACGTTCGTCTAGGGATTGATTGCAGTAAAAAATTTCTGATTGTTCTTCACTTTTGATAACTAGTAAGCAAGAACGTTCCAAGATCGGAACGTGACGTCGTTGATGACAAAAGATCTCAGTGATCATTATGGTCGAAGAAAGCGCATGTGAAGAAGGATAAACACCGTGAAAAAATCAGAGAGGTGAACGAAAATATCACATTCGTTAGCGATGCTATTTAAACAGTCAGGAGGCCGTATCACGAAAAGAGTTAAGTTGGTGATTTGTTTACTTTTTAAAAGTCGTTGAGAACAGTGACAAACTTGGGACAAAACCCCGCAAAATAACGAAATATCTATTCTCTAATTCTTAGACTGTCGCTTTCGTCGAATTGTATCGTTAAATGCCTGAGCTAATCGAAAAATGCGTCAATGACTTAAGTTTTCGGTCTTAACTTACCCATGGGCTTAAGTCACCCTGTGACTTAACTTTTTAACTTAGTACAGTAAAACTTAAGTTAGTGACAGAGGCGTAAGTCCAAATTTTGACTTAAGTCATACTTAACTTTGTTTGCGATACGGCTCCCAGATATGTTTCTGTGCTAAACTAGAATAACTCCTTTTTCCTGTGATTTTCTTACTTTTTTACTCGTGAAACACGGAAAAAAATACTCTAAGTAGGCTGAAATCTTTTCTTTGAGAGCCTTAAGCTACTTTGACGTGTACACAACATTGTCAGTACCCTTTTTCGACCAAAAAAAAGGCCTTCTCTTTTCCTCTTTTTTATCTAACGCTCCTCTTAAGAAACTTTTAGCATTCTTCTTTTTTCTCTCTTTTTTCTGAAAGGACCGTTATGATAAGTTTCTTCAAATCAGCTTCAGCGTGATCTAGAGTATTTTTATCTCACTATGCGTTATAATAGATCTAAGTAGCGACTCGTTACTTAGAACTATTGCTACGTTAGAGAAATAAGAAGTTCGCTTCAGAGACTCGAATGGTATTACGGATGATAAAGTTAAAACTTTTTGTTTATCTTAGATCTCGTTGATGAATTCTCGTTGTGCTAGACTGATACAAAATGGTATGAGTAGAGAGGCTAACTTTCGCTCAAACTTCCAGAGAAGGTTAAAAACTTAAAAACCAATCCAAATTGATTCACATTACTTGAAAAATGCGAGTTATACTCTACTTTATCTTCATATTTTAGAGTGCAATGGAAGTTTTAAAAGTCATTGGAAAGTACTTTAAGTGTTAAAAGGTCTTCTAGAATTCGAATGTTATTTCCGCATGGTTTTTCTGATTTTAAAAACAAAGTACTTGCACGAGACTCAGTGTGATTGGTAACTTATATTCTGTCAAATTCTGGCATTACCAAAAATTCGAAAAGAGTTATTCTGAAATTCGTAGAAAAGTCGATGTCGCGCTTGATTGCTAAAAAGTGGGAAGCCATTTTGAAGAGGATACTTTGAATTCATGTGGAGAAAACAGCGTATTATTATTTTTACACTATGATGTACTCTTTCAAAGGCCCATAAGAAAATTCACACACATAAGTTTACTTCTTTTATGATAAAGCACTACGTTCTATCAAAACTATTTAAGCAATTCATTAGTCTTTATTTTGAATGATTTTTATTTTGTTTTGATAGGTTTTTTTATCTTAATTTAAAAATCTTGATGATGCAATGGAGATAAAAGTGCATGTTTTGATCAATATCTTAGCACTCTATATTTTATTAAACTATATTTCATTTCTTGAAGATATCAGTCACGGAAATAATATGACACCATAAAAATCTGTTGTTTATCATAGAAACAAGAATCATTTTCAATTCAAAATGAACATTTAACATGTGTTTACAGCATTGACAGTTGAAAACGACAAATTTTGAACATTAGAATGGAATTAGGGTGAGTCACTTCTAGTTATCATACATATTTTTCCTTATAACGGATGGGCCATTAAGAATGGCGATCTCAGTATCACGCAAATATCTCGCTTAATTTTCATTGTCAAGGCTTCAACATTTTTTAAAAAGATTTGTCGTTTCATTCTCTACAAAAAACATATTGAACATGTTTTATATACTGTAGAAATAAAAGAGTATAGGTGAAATACTGCGAAGCTTCAATTTCTCTTGCTTTCAAGCCCAAAAACACAACGGAAAGATATTTATTTTGCACATGGTGCTATGCAAAAAAGTAGACTTAAGACGCATGTTCTGATGACTCGAAGAGTCGTCTTTCTTTGCATGTATCAGAGGTTGGCTTTGAACGGGTTTTTCTGATACAAAAAGGCTATTTTACTACAATTTCCCCAAAACAAGAAAAATTTCCACCTTTTCGCCTTGTTAGTGGAAATGAAATGGAGCTATCGAACTTTCTATGTTCGGATGTAACAGAATTATTTTTCTTTAAGATAAGACATACAAGACCTCAAAATATTTGATTTTGATTTACTAAAACTGCAGTTTGAAAACGGTGTTTTTTTTATAAAATCGATATAAACAAAGCCTATCCCGCAACAAATTGCAATCATAAGGAGTTTTAAACTTAGCCAATTGATAGAACTTTTCAAGAGCTATAAAACGGTCATCTTCTTTTATTCTGTATCGCAAGAACTAGAATTAAAAAACTGCTTTTTGTGCTTGAAATTGACGCTTCACAGTATTTCACCTATATTCTTCTATTCCTACGGTATATAAAACATGTTCAATATGTTTTTTTGTAGAGAATGAAATGACAAATATTTTAAAAAAATGTTAAAGCACTGACAATGAAAATTAAGCGAGATATTTGCGTGATGCTGAGACCGCTATTCTTAATGGCCCACTCGTTGCCCACTATTGTCTTCTATAGCTGTAGACGAAGACACCGATCGCTTCTTTTTTCGAATGTTTCAATTACACGCTTTACAGGAATGTTTTAAGTAACCAACTTCGAATATCAAATATTTCTTTCAACAAAAATACATTGCGATCATCCCTCAACAAAAATAATTTTTTCAAAAATATACGAAGCAATTTGTCTCTATATCAAGAAAATAAAGATAAAATAAAATTTCTGTTCATCAGTAAATCCAATAAATTCTTTCAAAACCACATTTGATCAAATCTCGTGCGTTTTTTCTTCGTCTCTGCTCCTTGATGTGGTGATTTTTAGATCAAATGGTCTAACGTAGTAGTGTACTCTATTAAAAGTGTTTGTTTTGTCATATGGTCAAATGGTAGCGATACTATTCTGAGGATTCTTAGCATCTTATAAAAGTACCTTCTGAACATGTAATGACACTAATGTCTTGATTTGTTCTAAACCCCCTCCCACCCGTAATAGAAGACCATCCGCTATCGATTTTCCCCCTAAAAATTTCGCCAAAACGTAGTTCTAATAGAGGATGGACTTCAAGCACCTGGGAGTTACTGTTTAACTACTAGCAGGCGACAAAATTTGACCGCAATAGAAGACCACCCTTTAGATCTCGACTTGTGGGACAAAATAGAAGACTAGGTGTTCTTCTATTATGGGGAAGGGGGTATGCCCTTTCCTTTTCTCAAATAAATAAAGTTTATGTCGTCGTTCACTCAGATTTTATGTCTATATTTCACTTATCACTTGAAACTGCCATTCATACCGATAAAACGGTAGTTGCAAGACGGAATATTCTTCCTTCACTTATCTCCTTTTTCTTTTGATTAATCAATGACATAATTAGAGTAGTATTACAAAGAGAACGCAAATAAACAGTGAGAGTCGATTTTATTCTGTTGGATATGTGCCAGAAAAAAATTTATTTAACTGTTCTGAAATTGTGATGATAGTGAGAAAATGATGTATGCAAAATTTCATCAATTATGAATTCTAATTTTCATTAGTCTAACTCTCATTTGAATTTTTACTTTTATTTTTTATTTTTTTAAATAGAAAGAAAGATGATCGTTTACAAAAATTAGAACTCTTAAATCCAGATTCTCACAAAGCTGTTCAATGGTTAAGAAAACATAAAAAGTTGTTCAAAGCAGATGTTTATGAGCCATTTATACTATTGGTTAGTCTCTGTAGACATATATTAATAAATCATTTCTAAACTATTATTTTTAGATTTCAATAAAAGATGACAATGTAAAAAATTTACTCTATTCAATTGTACCAAGATGTGATTTAGAAGCCTTATTTCTATTTGAAGATTTAGACGATATGTTTATATTTATTGACGAATGTCATAAAAAACATAAATGGATTGTACACGTATCAACTATACCTGATATTAATTTAAAAAAATTAAAAAAGACAACGTAAGAAAAACTGATACATAGCCGGCTGATTATGACCTTGTGAAAAGTTATGATTATTGATTAAATAAATAATTTAAGTACGCGTAAGGGCAGAAGTAATTTTACTCAATAATTAAAACATTTCTTTTCTATATGGTACAAGTTTGGAGTTTCGCTAAAATGTTGAAAATTTATTTGTAGTTTATTTGCTTAGAAAGTGCTTATGTCATGTAGTCATTGTGCTAGGTGAAACGGATGACTTTCTCTGTTCAACAAAATTAATCATCATACAGTTGGATTTTTTCACTTTTTACATAGTCTTAATTTGACAAAACGAGCATATTTTGTGCAGTTTTTCTCACTCTTTTGACTCATACGTATTGCAGAACTTTAAACGAAAGGGTAGAGAAAAAAGAAACGAAATACAAAACAGTCATTTTTTTCGATAGGTTTTTCTAATGCTGTGGGTTAAAAATTCATATTTTCATAAGAAAAGATATTTTTGTTTTTTCAAATCGTGCTCATTCGATTCTCCACATAAAACTGTAAAGGTAGGTGTTTAAGTTTTTAAATCTTGAAAACATTTCCTCATGAAAATATGCATTTATTACGAGAAACATTACAAAAAAATGACTTTTGTATTTTGTTTCCTTTTTCTCCATCCTTTCGTTTAAAAAGTTCTACAGTACATATGAGTCAAAACAGCGAGAAAAACTGCACAAAATACGCACGTTTTGTCAAATTAAGACTAAAGTCTGCTATATAAAAAGTGAAAAAATCCAACTGTATGATCAATTTTGTTAAACAGTTTAGTTAGTTAGTTAGATCCGTTACCGTTTCCGGTGAGAAACAGAAAAAATACACAAATAAACACAAAAAAGCATTAAAAGTCAGTGTTTGTGTAGGTTTTACGAATAGTCTGTTGATCACTGCGGAAAACTTAGTCCAAGATATACATCAGAATACTATCCTTTGGTGACCCAGCTTAGATAGTACTCATCATTCGCTCCAAGAATCAGTTCCCAGTAGGTGTTTAACAATCAAATTTGCTGCTAACACTTAATATTGTTCTTCAAATACCAACTTTTAGCATTAAGACATGCTTTTACATGATTTGTAATTCCTTGTGGTTTGAAATATTTTCCACACCCAGGACACTTGTACTGATTATTAGTATTTTTCATTAACATCTCTGTAACTTTTCGTTTGACCACTCCATGTGATGCTGCCAACTCCTCTCCTCTTCATGCATGTTGTTTATATTCATAGATGATGTCTTGAATTCTGGCATTTACGGGTCTCATTTGCACATTTCTATTGAGTATTTCTCGCCAGTGATCTCTGTCCAGAGTTTCTCTTCTCCAATTTTTTAATTTGACATACTTCAATATCATTCTGAATTTTGTCCTCCCATCTCTTCTTGATATCGATATTCTGAGGTCTTTTCTCGTCAGGCAAGTATGAGAATATGATTTTTTTGACTACTGAGGGTTCGTTATCAGAGAAAGTCGTCCATTTCACTCTTCCTCACCTAGCACAATGACTACATGACATAAGCACTTTCTATTTTAAGCAAATAAATTACAATAAATTTTCAACAGTTTAGCGAAACTCCGAACTTTACAGATGATTTCCTTTCAGAGAAATATCAATCATAAGTTAATATGAGGGTTGTATGATCAATTTTGTTGATCACTGTATATGTAATGAAAATTGATAGAAAATCTTCCATTAATTACAATTTTTAATCAGCCGATTAATCATGCACTTAATCGATAATGTTTCTGAAATTGCGATTAATTGAAAAAAATTAGTCGATTTTTATGATATAAAACACCTTTTGTCGTTCGTAGTCACTGGAAACATTTCAAAAACAGTCGCACATTCTCCATAAGAAACGTTGGCAATCTTTTTTTCAACCGCAGCTACTAAGATTTGTCACGTTTCTGTCTTTAGAATGTTATGACCAGAGTTGCCAGATGGTTCGCATTTTGTGGACAAGTTCCACTTTGTGTAGTTTTTTGTATATCCGCCTTTCGAGGATTTGTTGTCTTTGTTCTTTTTTCTGCAACGAAGATTTTTACATTTTCTCATAAAAAGTCTGCGGTTGAATGATCTGTGACAACAATGATTTTGTAACTTTTATAAAACAGATGCGCACTATCTTAGAAACTAAATTAGACATTTCCCCGGATGTGAACGATAACAGAAAAACATTAGCTTATCTCAAGTGCTGCTGAAAGGGAGTATGAAAAATAGTGAAATACTTAATCTTTAAGGAAGTCAACTCGGTCAGAAAATTTTAATCATTAAGTGCTGTTGTAGGCGGGGAAGTTTGAAATTAAATTTGATCCCGTTATATATATAACTCTTGAAATTTAGGACGGCTGATCAAAAACGCGCATCCACAAAAAGCCAATATCGATTCAATTGTGATTTAAATGTTGTTTTGTACTTCTTTTGTGTTTTTTAAATGGAGATCCTATAAAGTGCTAGATATATTTTTTTATACTCCCTTGCGTTTGGTGAAAAATGTGTTTCCACTTTTTTTTCTGCATTTTGGAAAAAAATTTCCGCTTTTTTCCACTTTTTCGACTTTTTATTCCGCTTTTCTGATCTAAGCATCTGGCAATTCTGGTTATGACATCAAAAGCTTCGAGTTTTTTGGTATTTTTCAGCGAATGACTCAGTTTGTATACGTCTGTGTGTCACTACTAACTAGCCATAGTAGTGTATAAGATTCAACATCAATTATTAAGCGGAAATTTTTTGTTTAGAAAATCTGTAATGTTGGAGGAAATATTAAATGGTGTTGATGGTCCGGATGCTGTTTTAAAATATCTGTGTCAATCAATTGAAAATCTAGATGATTCTTTGTCAACAACCACAAATAATATTTCGTCTAATGAATCAACGATGGCAATGAAGTCTACAAAGTATAATTTAAGATCTTTACCAAGAAAAAATTATAAACTAAACTCGTATTCATAAACTTAGAAATAATGTATAGAAATTGATGTTCAGTTGTTGTTGTTGTTTTTTGTATATTTTTTGACATGTTCAAAAATAAATATAGAATCGATAAAGAAATAATGTTTAGACGATGAGAGTAGTTACTGAAGCTATACAGATATATTCTGAATAGCGTGTCTGTGCTTTAGTTTCTTTTGTTGATCTTATAATATTTGAATGAGAGACCATGGAGAGTTGAAAGATGTATCATTTTGTAGCAAAGAGTGTGCTCCTCAAAACCTGATCTAGACTCATTTCAGAGTATACGATCGGTTTTCTACTATAGTGGTTTTTCGAACAGCCCTAACCCAATTTCCAGCGAAATGAAGCTATTAGTAATGAGTTGCAGTTTCCATTGTTACATATACATTACTGGTATAGAAATAAATAAAAAATGCGTCGGCTAGATCGATAGATAGAAAGAATGGAAAAAATGATTGTAAAGCCACGTTCACACGACACATTTTAACTTAGTTTAATCCTAGTCTTTCCAATATTGTCCCGTGGGAACGCACTCAGTTTATTAACTTAGTTTAAGAACTCAGTTTGGCAATTTGCCAACATGGTTAAGTTAACCAAGTTTATAGAACTCGATTAAGGACCCCTATTAAACATCGATCAATCAGTGATTAGCTACATCTTCTACACATGTGTTATGGTCAAATAACTTAAACACATATGTAGTTCGAAGCGCATTTGTAGCTCATACAGCGTCCCGCAAATTATCTGAGAAGGTAATTTTCAGTATTTTCATATTGGTCAATTCCCAGGAGCGTCTGAACGGTGTCATTTCGAACTCGGTTAGGATTTGAATTAAACTAAGTTAAAAAGTGTCGTATAAACGTGGCTTAACTGTTGATCATCATCAATCATAGTTCATTTAGCCTACTATATCCAACACTAGTTGACTATTTCATCGATTCTTCGAATGTTATGAAAAGAAAAAGAATGAATTTATAAGATGATCTTTTACTCATATAAAAATATAGAAGAGAAAAATGATTATCGGCTAGAAATAAAAAAAGGTTAGAAATATAAAAAAGGTTAAAAATAAATAAAATTACAAGAATAATCTTCTTATTGTCTGAAATGTTAAAATTTAAAAAAAAAAATTGCTTTTGAATATTGCTTTTATTTTTCTTCGATAAAATATACATGTAACTGTTCATCCGTACTTGTATCTTCTAAAAGGAGAAATGTACTAAATATTATCAATGACTATGATAGACAAAGTGTGAGAGATATTTATAGACTTATTTAATTCCTTTATCATATACCTTCTCTTTGCTTTAAAATCTGGTTTTCTTTTCGACATTCAGCAAGGTCTGTTTGTAGTCTCTTTATTTCATCTAAAATGCATCAAAGAAAAACACATTCGATATACATCACCGTAATGTAAATTCGGTTTCCGTAGTTTATATTGATATTTTATATATACCTATTGTATCTAAATATTTTCTATAATCCACATGTTTTGGATGAGATACTTCCGTTGTTGTGATCTAAATAGACGTTAATCCATATGATACCTATCACCAGTACATCGATATTCGGCACAAATGACGAGACTTATTTTACTATGTAGAGCTCGGACATGAGCTGAATCTAATGGCGCAAATCGGAACTCCTCATCTTTGTAGAAAAAAACATTTAACCATTTTACTACACTGCAGAAAAATGCATTTTTCGTCATTTTCCAGGCACGTATTTGGTCTAACTTGTGGAACGTGTATGGATTGCAATCCCTAATGTAGAACTTAAAATTTGGTCTCAAATGGAAGAACGCATCGGATTCTATATATTTCGATTAAAACAATTATTCCCGATAGATGAGCCTTGAGTAGAAGGTTTGTGAAAAAACAGGTTTTCTAGACAATCTGACAGCCGTAAAAAAATGTCCAGGAGTTGTTTAACTATTCTATTAGATAGTCTGTTCAATTCTCTACAAAATGATACGTCAACGAAGTTTCTACGATGTTGAGCGCCAGATTTATATGACTTTTAATCATTTGTATAACTTCATTGTAATATTTTACGTGCATGACGACATTTAGGATGGCATCGTATTTTCTCCGTGAATTTTTAATGGAAGCTCTTGTAAAGTTGGTTGACGTCTCATTTTATGCAGAATGAAATGGGCTATCGAATGGTCTGGTTGAATAACTTCCAGGAGACTACGGTTTTTGCAGAAACCTCTAACTGGAGACCCACCTGCCGAGCATAATTGTTTTAATCGAAATATATAGAACCCGATGCGCTCCTCCATTTGAGACCAAATTTTAGGTTCTACATTAGGGATTGCAGTCCGTACACGTTCCACAAGTTAGATCAAATACTTGCCTGGAAAATGACGAAAAATGTACTTTTCCGCTATATAGTAAAATGGTCAAACGTTTTTTTCTACAAAGATGGATAAATAACACTAATAAAAATCTTAAATAACGCGTAAGGAATTCTTTGGTTAACATCAATAGAATTGAAAAATAGTTTTTTGTAGTACCATTGGAAAATATTGAAGAATATCAGCCGATTAGTAAGCAGCAATTTTTTCCTTGAAATTGAAACGCCTCTAACCAGAGTACAAGACAGACAATTTCGATTTTACTGATCGATATAGCGGCTTATCTGGTAGATATTCTAAGAAAATGTGCTATGCTGTATGAACCTCATTGCATATTCAATTTAGAGTGTTCTAATTCTGCTGTATTCAGTTAATACATAAGTTAGTATAACAGAAAATTCTATTATTACTCGAATATCAGAGATTGTATAAAAGTGTCCGAGCTATGTATTATCCAACGAACGGCTATTTGTTTATCGTTGTATCTAGAAACTTCAGTTATTACAAAACTGAGCTATATAATCGTGTCGGAGAAAGTTATATGATTTTATGAAACGAGATTGTAGATTTAAGAATGATACCGCAACTTTTGCTAAAGCTCTCGTTATGTGGCGTATCTAGGACAAATCCTATCAACAGATAGAGACATTAGCCATCCCTAACGAAACTAGTACCGCGTAATATTAGAGTAACATTGAAAACTCAATAATAAAGCAGTATTCTCTTATATGAGAAGCACACAAAATCTGAAATAGTTGTTTGAGCTGTTTATGTTTAGCAGTAGGACTGCAATTATATGATGATCTACTCTTAGTTAAAACTCTAGGATGTCATTTCTGTATAATAATATAGATTCAAGACATCACTAACGAGTTTATAAAAGTAAAATAACTTATTAATTTTTAAAATCGTTATACATTGATCGAAGAATATCAAAGTATAAAGTGACACACGTGTTGGTCGAGTGTGTGCTGGTATATTTCCATTGACAAGTTTTAATCATCTGATTCATTTAGGTGCTGTAGTTGTAGTGCTACGGAAACGGACGATTCAAAGAAAATCAGGTTGCTTCTCTTGTTTTACGACAGTTACTTGTTTGATGTTCTTTTCTTCCCTTTACTGTAACTCGAAAAATGCTCTCTATTGTGAACACTAGTTGTTGACATATAGCATGCCACCTCCAGCGGAATCTCAAATATACTAGCTAGCATCGGACAGTACGACTGCGGAACCTTACTTGATTATCCAGATTCACTATTGATTGTCTTGACATTGTAACTAATTCCAACTCTTCACTATCATCTTGTCTTAATAGTGACGCACTTCTTTGCGGTGATAAATTTTGTTGGAATTGTGTATACAAACTGTGAATGTAGGAGAAAACACCAAAAGTAAAAAGTTTAAACGAATGATTTAGAAATTAACATACGCTTTTCTATTTTCCACAATTTTATTTTCCTAATCTTTTGCGATTTGTGCATACCAACGTGCGACTACACCACAACTGTAGATGTCCATGACGATAAACCCGAGCCATTCAGTGACGACTGAACTTAAGGTTGCTCAGGTTTTATGTGGCTTCTGTGTGTTGGCAATAATAATTGTTGATGATACAATTGTGCTGGTGGTCAATAAAAATGTGAACGCAAATGGTTCCAAATTATCCCAGTTACAAATATCTGAGACTAATTGACTACATTTCGTAATTTTCCAGTTTGTCTTACGACCTAAAATAATTTTTAATTAAAGCTTATTATACCACAGGCATATGTTTCTCCGCAAGCGATTCAGACTAGTTTTATATTGAAAAGTTTCGATTTGTAACACCTCCACTATCAGATGCCTCTAATTACAGCACAGCAGATTTCACAAATTCTATCCGCTGTTCAAATCTTTTTTCAAATTTCTTCTAGCTAGTATGGCCGACCAGAAAAATGAAAATAAAGGTAGCGAACAATTTTTGAAGCCATTCTAGGTTAAAGCAGCGCAGTATTTAATATGAGTCCAAACATCACTACCAAGCTTCATTAAGTTTCTTATTAACACATGTTGTAGAACGTTTCACGGTGCATCGAATGATCTATGAATAATGAGAGATCATCTTTAGCTTCATAGAAAAAAGTGATCAAGACTTCTCTTGGCGTACCTCGACTAATGAAAAAGTTCAGTATTAAACTCATAAAACCTGCTGCCAGGCTACGTTAAGTTTCCTATTAGCATATATTGTAGAGGTTTACAAGGCGCGCCGAATGATGTATGAATGATCAGAGATCCTCTTTAGTTTCATAGGAAAAAATGAACAAGAGTTCCATTGGTATAGTGGCGACCTATGAAAAAGTCTAGTATTAAGCTCACAAAACCTGCTACCAGCCCTCGTTAACCTTTCTATTAATACATCCTGTAGAGCTATTCACGGCGCATCACATGATGTATTGCAGTAGGCTTAAATGTTGGAGGGTTACGGAGAAGTTTTGATTTTATAGTTATACTATTGGTGCTAAATCGTTGCTTGTTTTCGAGTAGGTCCTGTTGGGTATATCCGATCGAAAGCACTCGGAAGGGTTGGGATCATTGAATATGATGATCGGATGTGATTCTGACGAGTTTCCTACCGATTTGAGGGGCTAAAGTTAGTGGGCAGATTTCACGTCTTATGCGGACTTCACCTTTCATTGTATCAGAAAGATAGCTCAGTATTATACGTTGAGCTACGTATGGATTTTGACGAGCACACTTTTAGCTACAAGATAAGATGTCTTGCAGCTTTTCACGATGTTTTCTATAAATGGAATAAAACGACAAAAGCACAGACATTTGGCTAACCGTTACGCGAACTGGCTGAAAAACTATACGGCTTGTCCAAGCGTGACGCTGTGACATTTTTGACATAGTAAGTTGAGCTTTTCTCAAAAAGTGTAAGAGTCAGAAACTTCATTCTTGCGCCATTCGACGCAGCTCGCCATACGCTACTTTTGGTACATAATGAAGGTATGTGGTTAAAGACTCAAATTTTTAGAACCGTTTTTTGGCACGTGACGCTGTGACAAAAAAGGCCCGAAATTCGAAGTTCTTCTCATTAAAAGCTAATTTTGCTGCAAATTTAGAAGAGCTAATAAAAAGCGCCTCAGGCAAAGTTTGTAGAGAAGTAAATGAGCTACTGATTGCTAAAAAAGAATCTTTCCAATGAGCTTTCCGTCCCTCAATAATTATGTTTTATCGTCATAACGCTGTGACACATTTTTTTCCCAACAAAGTTTGGAGCACTAAACATTGCTCAAAGGATTTCATTTTCACACCAGACTTAGTTTTAGGCATCTAATATAGACTAAGGTGAAAATATAGCTGAAAAAATATTTTCACTTTCTTAGAATTGTGTGAAAATCTTAAAACTTAAAACTTTATTAAAAAGCTTGTTTTGAATCTAAACTTCAAAAGAAACATACCATCTTGTAGAGAATCGAATTCTCTATGGATTAGTGTAGCCTTCCATTTTTATTAGGAAAAGCGTCTAGATGAGGAAATTGAAGATACAGTTTTTAAAAAATGTAAAACTGGATTTTTGGTACCAAAATTTACCTTTTCTAAAAAAAAATATGAGATTCGTAATCAGCACCAAAAACTGCATCTAGTGATATGCTTCTTTCAGTTCTACTCTAAAATAATTTTTTCAAAACTTGATTAACAAAGTGTCAAGTCACGTGGTCAAGCCGTATATAGTTAAGCAACTGATAATAGAAAAAGTTAAAATAAACTCACATTGCTTAGATCGAATAATCGTCACGCCATGCAGAGTCATACTGTGATTCACACTTATAACTTATTGAAGCCGCTGACATGTCAGCATTATTTTCTTCTGTACTGTCTATAGATTAAACAGTGCAACTGTAGACGATTTTTTCACATCTCGCTGCTTATAGATCTATCAGGCCTGCATTGCTGGATAATGATTTCCAACAGTTCTCATTTTTGTTTTGTCATAATGAACAGAATCGAGGAGTAGAAGAACATCTTGATGGACAGTAGAGACATCTATCCCGTTCCTTGAATCGTCACCAAACATGAAGCTTCTAAAATGAACAGCTATTTGAATATTTTAGTTAAAATAACAAACTAAAAGAAGATTTATTCGAAACACTAAAATGAAGGAGGTACAGAGAGATTTTTCTATTGGACATCTTCTCGCCCACTGATTAGGCAGTTACGTTTGCAGTAAAAAATTAAAAGTCCTAGTTTAGGAATGTTACAAAAAAATGTTAGAACAGTAAGTCGTTACAAGTAACAAGGTAAGAGAATGTACCGTTACCAATTTTAATTTATTTTATGTTTCTGTCTGACACTCTTGTTTTCTTTTGTCTTTCTATTGCTACTCTTTCTTAGTTGTTTGGCTTTAACCATTGTCATCGTAGATTGGTTGATAGATGATCTTTGCTACTTTCACTTTTCAGTAACTAATTTACATATGAGTTAAATTGATGTTTAACAAAATGTCCACTAATATGCGTGAAAACTAGTTTTAAATTATTTGTATTGTACACGAGTTATTCATTTTAGACATGAAAATAGACGATAATACTTTAACGTTTATACGTAATGATCATCATTTTTTAGTATTTTAACATCGAATTTATAATTGTATTTTTTCTCATCTCTCTAAACACTCTTTTTTTGTAAATAATTCGGTTTTTACCCTAAACATTCTACTCTAGATGCTTTGTTGTATTTATCTCCAACCGTCTTCAACTTTTGAAATGCTGATGTGAAGTGTGTTGGTGTGTCTTTCGATTGTTCTAAAGTATTTGACTCTGTTAGTATTCTCTCTTGTTAGAAAAATTATCTCATTGTGGTGTGCGTGATTCCTTAGTGTCTCTTCTATCTTCTTATCCTTCAAACCGTTCTCAGTGTGTGCATGTGAATGATTTTGCCTCTTATCCTGCTCTTTCTGGTGTTCCTCAAGACCCTCTTTTATTTCTTATTTTTATTAATGATCTACCTCTGTCGCTTCTACCTTGTGAAATCTGTCTCTTTGCTGATCAAGTCTTTTTTGATTGTTCCTCTTTCCTCCACTGATTCTTCTAATTTTTCTCATGTTCAAAACTCTATAAACTCGTGTTTCTCACTGGTCTTCTTCCAATCTCATGTCGTTAAACGTTTCTAAATGTTGTTGGCTTCCTTTCTCTTTCAACCTCTTTCCGTATGTTTATAATCAATTGTATCTCACTGATGCTCTTCTCTCTTTTGTGTCTTCTGTTCGTTGTCTTGGTGTTCCTGTTTCGCACGATCTTAGATGGAATGATCATGCCAAGAACATTACTCTTGCTTGTCGACGCAAACTTGGGGCATTGAATCGTGTCTTTATATTAGCTCTAACTGAAGTTCGACGTCCTAAAATTGACTATTGCTGTACCTTGTATGACAGTTCGTTTTCTCTAACTGTTCTTGATTCTGTAACCAAACTTGCTTCTCGTGTTATTTCTCGCAATTTTGACTACCGTTCTTCTAGTTCTCTACTTGTATCTCAACTTTCTCTTCGTCGTAAATACTTTAGACTTCTACAGTTTTTCAAAATTTATCATCGTCTAAGTCCTGTTTCGCTTTTTTATACTATTCATCGTCCTCACTGCTCATCTTTACGTCTTCATCACTCTAAATATGTTCACATTTCATCTTCTGTTGATGGTTTTTCTCCGCAAACGGTGCATTCTCCTTTTTTTATTCAACTATTGCTGACTGGAATAATCTTCCAAAGTCAGTTATTCGTCTTTCTTCTTTAACGTTTTTCAAAATAGCTTTACTTCAGGGGGCCGTATCACGAAAAAACTTAAGTGTATAAAATTAGTATGTAAGTGTCCATAACGAAGACTTAAGTCAGATTTAGGTTTTTTTGTGATACGGCCTCCTGTATCTCTTCCAGTGAGACGTTTGTCAGTTAAGAATTTATATTTGTTCTTTTTTGCTTATTTTTTTTAAAATTTTTGTTTTTTTCACTACTTCTGGTTCTAACCTTAGTTGTCTTCTTTATTTTGTTCTTTTTTTTTTATTACTCTTTTAGTGTTGTTTGGCTTGAGTCATTGTTATTGCAGGTTGGTGACCTTCGATGACTCTTACTTTTCGTGAATAAAACAGTCTTAGTCTTAATCTGTCATCATAGATTGATCGGTAGATAATTTTTGACGATTTTCACTTTTCAGTTAACTAATTTATATATGAGTTAAATTGATGTTTAACAAAATGTCCACTAATATGTGTAAAAACTAGTTTTAAATTATTTGTATTGTACACGAGTTATTCATTTTATATATGAAAATAGACGATAACATTTTTTAACGTTCATACGTAATTGTCGTCATTTTTATTTAGATACTGTGTTTTCACTTGATTTCGAGAGAAAGTGATAGTAAAAGTTTCTTTATATACTATCATACATTTTTCTCCTCAGAATACGTACGTACATTTTATAAAAGAAAAACATATTGTACGGCATGTCTCTGTTATTCACGACAAAAGAAATTAATTAATCCTAAATTGTTACTGCTACTAGAAGCCAAATACAGAGAAAATTTAGCTCCATATAAGTGATGTATGAAAAAAATCTAAAATAACTGTCCCTATGAAAGAAATAAAATGTAGAATTAAGGCAAGTTGAAACGCTTCTTTTAGCATACTTAAACTGATTAAAATAGGCTAAATTTTGACTATTTCTTTGAAACTAGAAAGAAACTTGATTCTTTGTTCTTCCTCCGTATTCAATCTTATTTTTACTTCCCCTCTCTACCAATTTTCTTCTTGTTAAGCTATCCTATATTCATGTTGTTTTTAACAGATGAAACAAAAAAACAAAAATAATGAAAAGATCGTCTAGATTTGTTATCAATAAGTTTTAAATGTTTCTAAAAATATGTTAAATTGCTAATTATTATATTCTAGAAAAATACCTGTCATAGTTTTGAAGTTCACCTCGTTTGCATAACATCGCCCATAAGTATATTATTTGTTTTTATATCTCTAAATAAATATTTGCTCTTCAATAATAGAAAATTTGTAAATTTGATCTATCGATTAAAGGACATGTTTCAATTTAAATGTACTGACATAAACTTTATTTTGTTTTCTAATGGTGTTTCTAATGGTTCAGTTTCTTTTTTTCAAATTTACATCAGTTTAAAAGTTGTACAGTGGATTTGACCATTATGTCTATATAAAAAAAATCATTTGTTTTTATCAATCTATAGTATTCATCATTCTTTCATATTTAAATAATTCTATCTTTTCTTATAGATAATTTTTAATTGTATGTGACATGTTTTTCATCAATTTTTATTTCTAAATAAACAAGATGGTCGTAACATCTTCTCAATCACCATCAAAAGTATCATCTGTCGAAAGTCCAAGAAAAACGAGTCGATGTCCACATGTAGCCACAATAGGATTCATTTCAAGTAGTGATTTTTATCACATAATACAAGTAATATACAGAAAATCTTTTTAAATATTAAAATTATAATTAACATTTATTTTTTTAGAGTAATTCTTGTAATACATGTGGACGAAATGGTCCTCATCTATGGTTTTGTCTTCGTGAAGCATGTCTCTATGTTGGATGTGGATCAGGAAAAGATGATCATAGTGGAGATCATGAAAAAGTTAGTTTATTTAGTTATTTTTTAGTTAATATTATTTTAAAAACATGTTCTTCTCTTTTAGGAAAAAGCTCATCCATTACAAATGAACATAACAACTCGACGAATTTGGTGTTATTCATGTAATGAAGAAGTATTAATTCAAGGAAATGATCCACCATTTGAGTAAGAATCAATTTTTATCTAGTCGAAACATTTTTATATCGAGAAATCTCTCATAATTCGTTCATGCTCAACGATCATCACTTATAGTTGATCAGCAGTAGCCTGTATAAATGATTTTAGTATTCTTATGTACAATACTCCATAAAAGTTTATGAGATATCAGCGATTCATCTCTTTTTCGTAAAATGTCAATAACTCCTGATGTGAGAGAGATGAAAACGTTTTCGTTTTACTAAAATGGAGCCACAACTCTATCTATGGTATGAATTTCGTGAATTAGCTATTAATGATCAGTGAAATACAGCTATTCTATGGGCGAGGAACGCTTTTTTTTGTTGAAATTTTGAGATCATTTGCGCACATCATTTTGCCTTCAAATTTCATCAAAGACTCTACAGTGTCTGTAGATTATCTCGCCAAAGTATGATGGTTAATAATTGTATAGTTCTGGAAATTCATTGAGAATGAGCATCTGAAATGAGAAAACGAAACTGGTTGAAAATTGCATACTTAACACTCAGTTTTGGAACAAAAAATTTTCATTGAAAATTTTCTCTTCATATTAGATTTGAGTGTGTAATCTTTCTAACAAAATTTGCACCTACATTTTTGGAAATTATAGGTTTCCATAATTATATTTTTACATGATTATGATATACATTGAATGCAAATTCTATAGTAGAAAACACGACCCTTAGTTCCTCATCCTCTCCCAGGAGTCGACTTTTCAACAAAAAAAAAAGTATTTCTCGCCCGTAGAATAGGTGTATTTCACTGATCGTTAACAGCCAACTCACGAAATTCGTACCATAGATAGAGTTGTGGCTACATTTTGATAAAAAAGAAAACGTTTTCGTCTCTCTTAGAGCAGGAGTTATTGACACTTTACGAAAACGAGATGAATCACTTTGTGGTGATACTTTAAGGTCAAAGTATTGCACGTACACCAGCCTTATTTTATAACTTTTGTTTGAAAAGAATACCGAAAACTTTCAACTATTTAGAATATTTTGATGAATATTCTGTCTTCACGTACAAACTGCACACGCAGATGGAATTTTTCATAAAATTCGAAATTTTTATCTTTCAAGTACTTGATCGGGGATCTATAATGAAAATTCTTCAGGTTTCGAAAAATTTCGATACAAACAGATTAATGTGTAAATATTTTTGTTTAAAACAAATAATGAATAGAAAATTTGTTTTATTCTAGTTTACCATTTTTAACTGAACATTTACTCTCATCATCACATCAAGTAACAGAATCTCAACAATCCCCTCATCCGTCTGACAACAATGTAAATATTCAATCATCCGTCTACAATGTCATTAATATCGTCCAACCATCACCATTAAATCAACAATCATTCTATTCAACATCAAAATCTTCTTCATATTTAAATGAAACAGATGAAACATTTTATCGTTTTGAGCCAACATTGTTTATAGCTGAAGCATTAGAATCAAATAAACCGCAATTACAAGCAAGAGGTGACGAAAAAGAAGATACACAATATTTATTGTACTTATTATATAAAGGTTTTTTTTTCTTCTTTTAGGTCTGTTAGGATTATATAATCTTGGCAATACATGTTATATGAACGCGGCATTACAAGCATTATCAAATTGGTATGTATAGCAGAAATTATAAGGGGTAAAAAGCACAGTCCAGAATGGATACAAAATTTCTGGAGTGGCAGAATATCCCCCCCTCTCCCTTAGAATGGCGGACTGGTATTCTAGAATAGAGAAAAAGTTTTTTGTTTTGATTCTAAATACGAGCAAAAATGTTTGAGTCTGTAGGGAAATAAAAGTATTAGAAGGACACAGAATTTATTTTATTTATTCACTATTCTCTCGTATGTCAAAGAAAACATATGTAATTTTGTCGTGATGTCTAAACAATTATTTTGTACACATAAAAGTCTATCAAACGATAAATTATAAAAATGTATACCTTTTAGTTACTAATACAAAATAACATGTTCCATTTATTTACCATTTAATTATGTTCACTTGATGAGAAAATATATTTTTCAAAATGAGACAGAGTAATAATTTTACAAACGTACAGATTAAAACATAAGAGACGTTATATTGAATCAACGTAGCAGAAAAAAGAATTTTTTTACTGTATGTGAGTGTATATAGTACTTTATTTTTTGTATTGACTATTAATACACCCTAGACCATGCACATATTGAATATACATGCAGAAAGAAGAAAAAATGTGCAATGTATTAAAATGAAAGACTGGCTTTCGCTTTTATAGTTTCTCTTACAACTATTATTATCATCTGAAAATTAGATTAAACGCTCGGCTTTTAAAACATAGAATGGCAGAACGATATTCTAGAATAAAGGTATTCCAGAACGGGTATATTTACCTTATGGTGCTTTTTCCCGCTTGAGAAATTAGTATTTTCGATACAGATTTCAACAGGATGTTCCACTGTGTAACTGTGACTCAGTCACAGTTCAAAAGATTTAGTTATACTGTACAACGGTTACTTAGAAGACGAGTCACTTACGAGGGAATCTTTCGAGGTGATTAAACGCTTTTTGCTCGGAATCTAGTGGGTTATAGGTTATCGACCATGTTGATTACAAATATGACCATGGGAGTTGCCCTTAGCCCTTCGAAGACCTGGTTTTCTAGAAAACCAGTTTTTCAGAAACTCTGAAATATAACCCCTTAAAAATAAAAATATAACCCAAATGTTCATTGTTAGCTCAAAGCTACTGAAATAAGAAAATTAATTTAGGGACTTTTCTTGTGAATTCTATAACTTTGCAAAGAAAGATCGTGTAGAGCTGCGAGGTGTCCCATTTTAATCAGAAATATGCGGGCTACAATCATGGCTCATTAAGAAGGTTCGGGTTATATTTTAGAGTTTCTGAAAAAACTGGTTTTCTAGAAAACCAGGTCTTCGAAGAGCTAAGGGCAACTCCCATGGTCATATTCGTAATCAGCATGGTCGTTAACCTAAAACCCACTAGATTCCGAGCAAAAAGCGTTTAATCATTTCGGAAGGTTCCCTCATTAGTTTAGCCGAGCCGTATCGAGAAAAAATAGTTTAATGACTCAATTGAATAAAGATAAGTAGTATTCACACAGAGATTCACTTAAGTTACTAAAATGTTCGTTTCTCAGTGTCATCGCTTAGATCAACATTAAACAAATAGTCTTTTTAGTATTATTCAGTCAGTTAATACGTTGATAGTGCTTGCTCTAAAAATAGTCGGATCCTTAGGGAAACTTTCACGAAATGATGACCATGTTGAATGAAATGTTTCTTTTCGTGTTTTCCAATATTTTCCTTTAAGGATTGGTTTCAAAATGAGCTAACACATTCAACTAGAGATTAACAGAGTCCGATTTTTGAATATTTGCGTTAATAATTTTTAATCATCGAAAGTTCAAAATTGGAAAGATTTTTAAAAATCAATCTCTACTCGTATGTATTAGCTCTATTTTAAAACCTTTCTACTGTCTACCTCAATGGAAAATATTGAAGAACACGAACGTTCAGTCTCTAATGAGAAAAAGGATTCTGAGAAGAAACGCTGTACATATCGGAATGTATTTTTAACAAGGAAAAAGCAGCGCTAGTATCAAAAAACATGCTTCAAGTATTGTGTGTGGTGAACAATCCGTGATAGCATAGTAGTAAGAGGGCCCTTCTTAAAAAATTCAAGATGATGAAAGGTCAAATGTTCTGACACGGATTTAGCCATATTTTTTTATTTTTTATTATATTTCTGCCCAAAAAGTGCCGCACTGACAAAAATCAGTGCAGCACTGAAATTTTATTTAATCAATTTAATTAGGTTTTATCATAGTTGTTTATACTGAACTTTGAGTTAGAGTGTGGCACTAATCAGTACCACATTGACATGCCAAAACCATGCGGCATTGCGTCGGTACTTCTCTTATGAGAAGGAAAAGATGATTCAAAATATTAGAAGTAGACTGTGATATTAATATAGATAGAAATTGACAAAACAAAACTACGACACTATTGTGCATCGTTGCGAAATTTTTACATTCTTTCTGGCACTGGTGCGCATGCGTGTACATCTAAAATAAATATCTAAAAGGATTTATAAAACTCTTTTAAATTCTTGGGAGTGCCTTGTAGCGATATTCTCCTAAACCTTTCAGTTGTTAGATTTTTTAGCGATTTTTAGTTTTTCACGAAATCTCGAAGATTTTTATAAATCCTGTTGGATATCTGAAAGAACACAAATTTTTTTTGCAAAATAACCCTATCAGTTTACTAAAAGTCTAATGGATTTTAAGGACGACTCCTAAACTGTTTTAGACTTTTTAGAGTCATTCTCTTTTCTTTGCTCGAGTCTTTTGCTCCCTTAATTCTTTTTAAGGGTTTTAAGGGTTCTTACTTCGTAAATATTTACATGAGTTTTTGTTCGTTCTTCATATTTATAAGACATATTCATACATTCAAATTCTTTTTTCATAAATGACTATTGAAACTATTGAAGTGAATCCGTCTGTATACAGTCTCTATATGAAATATGAAACTCTACTTGATACAGTTCTAATTTAATTTTGTTTTTACAACTGTTTATCAAGTTACTAAAGGCATTCTGGAAGAATAAAAAGCAAATACCTTTCTCAAATGTCTCATCAGGTGATTTTCTTCGAGAAAAACAGAGTTAAGGCATGACAAGCAACACTATTCAGTTCACACTGTGTAAGGATGTTATTATTCTTTGTTCTCATCAAATAAAGAATGATAACTTTCACACAACGAGAATGGAACCCCATATCACTGGCAACTGTACATATTCTGCTTCTCTTCAATAGGGCGGGGGGGGGGGGGGGGGGGGGGGGGGGGGGGGGGGGGGGGGGGGGGGGGGGGGGGGGGGGG